ATCCCTTATTAGTATATGTTTTATTAAGCAAGTCTGACAAGGTATATTGTTAAGTGTTTTCAGTGTATTTTTCTTGTATGCGATCACAGTAGCGGTACGGATAACGGCTTGCACAATCAGAGAGCCGAGTTCGAATTCTAGTTGAGTTCATTCCATCCACTTACGTGGTAATACTCTTGGGATAGGTATGAATCCACCTCTCCCCCTCCAACTATGGGTTAATACCAGGACATACTGTATTCTATAGCCTTGGTTGGCAACCAGTCCAGAAGAATGAAACCGCTGAATTCAAACCGTCCTGGTGATGGTTGGACTCCATCTGTATGTCTTGCCAAAGAAAAACCACTAGTGCTTTTTGTTAGACATTTTCATGACGGTCGTCCTCGAGTATAGAATCTAGAGGTTGGCAGTGAATATTTCGGAGACAGTAGGAAAGCGTAGTGGAGGTTCGCAGTGGATATCACAGCAGAGTGTAGTTCATCCTTCTCCTGGTCGCCTTTGGTCCTTCCGGTAGGAGGAAACAAGATGGCCGCCTTTATACACGACGAATACAGTATTGGGCGGCTTCGGATTGGTCAACCTTCCATTGGTCGACTATAAAGGGAAATAAGTCATTCTGACTCGCTCACTAGTTATAGGCATTATATACCAAAAAAACCGTAACACTTTTACTATAGTAAATTTAGTGCTCCGACCATCCTATGGGTTTAAGAGATTCCTGATGGTGTTTCGAACAAGTGTTTTTCTGCAATTAATGAACTCGGAAATTGTTGATTCCAAGCGGTTTCGGCTAATCTATTGGCTATTTTCAAGGTTTTTAGTTATAATATATTGGGTATAGCTGCTATTGGAAACAGTCTAAAATGTGATAAGCACCCCTAACTGAAAAAAGGTCTAAAATAATGGATGTTTTTAATATACAAAAAAAAAAGAAAGCCAACATTTAATAACATCAGTTATGAACATGGTCTAAATGTACTGGCCGTATTCATGAATTAAGAATATGTCTAAACATTTTGTGGTTGAGCAATTTACTCAGAAGGAAAATTCTCGAGAGTGTCGCCATCGAATCTTATCAAAATATAAATTTTTCCAATCTCACCTTTCATGAAAAAATGACTATTTTTCTAAGCCAACATCACAACGGTCACAAGAAAGTTTTAAAAAAATCAAAAGACAGCGGTTAAATCCATTACCTTGTGTTTTGTACAGCATATGCGTCTATCTCAAACCATAACAATCTGACCACAATTTAAACAATATTCATATATAAAAAATGTCTCTTGAATATTACGCGAATGATTGAATATTAACTTGAAACTATCTATCGATCTATAATTGTAAGGTATGCTATATTTATGAGCTAAAATGGTCAATATCATGTTTTTGAAAATGTACAATCCATCCCAAATCACAATAGTCAGATCACGATTTAAACAATATTCATTTATTAATTATATACGAAGAAATATAGTCTTAAGGTGTACTATATTTATGGGATAAAGTGCTCAATATCAGAGATAGAGCGTGTGTAAATATAAAAGTGAACATAGAAGTCAACACTTAGAGGCGATAGTCTGTTTCATGCTAGATCCAATCGTCAGGCCTGACAATTGCATCTAGCATGAAACAGATTGTCGCCTCTAAGTGCTGACTTCTATGTTCACTTATATATATATATATATATATATATATATATATATATATATATTTTTTGAAAATTACTCGCTTACTTTTTGTCTTGAATATTACTCGCTTACTTTTGTCATACCAGACTTTAAATTATGGCACTTTCTATTGTTCACATGTTTTGACTGACCTCTTAAACATTTGATGAATACTCATGAACGCTATCAAATTTAAAAGCCTTGATAAATCAATGACATCTTTGCTCTTGTATATAAACTCGTGCAACAAAATAATTGCTACATTTGCCTTGATAAAGTCCCTTAGAGGAGGAAACGCGTCGGTTAGGAATAGTTTTTTCTTGTCTTTTTATTCATACACTCCCCCCACACATGTATATACATACACACACACACACACGCATATATATATATATATATATATATATATATATATATATATATATATAATCGAAGTCACCGCAAACAAGGCAGTAAAGCTAATAAGACACAAAGGGTTACATTTTGAGGAAAAATTAGGAACAGAAACATTAATAATGAGCGGGAAGAGGAAAGAGTAATCAGGAGGACACTAGATAGCGATTGACATTGCATTTAAATTTTTGCAGATTAAAGTTGGTTGAAAAGCCTGGAGCCGGAAAGAAGTTCCACAAGCGAGAAGTGCGAGAAAAGAAACTGTTAGCATAGAATTTACGGTTACATTTCGCCAGCTCAAATGTAAATTAATAAGATCTCGACGCCGGTCCGCTTAAATTAAAAAAATCGAGGTACCACAGCGAAGAGCTCATGTGAACAATTATCATGAATATATTTATAGAAAAACCGCGGGGAGGCGAACTCACAGCGGTGGGAAAGCTGCCAGATCAGGACCAATAATATTGCTGATACTTATTTGGATTTTATCAAGGAGCTGAAGGTAAATAGCAAGGGCACCGGATTATATGTGTCAGCAGTATTCTAAACATGGACGAATGGTAAACTTATATTCATGTAAGATAGATTCTGAAGAGAAATATTGTCTCGTACAACACAGTGAACCAACATTCTTAGCAACTGACCTAGCAATGGATCCAATATAGTCATTATAAAGAGGTAATCATACAAAGAATTAATCAGTAAAGTTAATGTAATCAATAGCGAAATCTCTTCGCTAACAAAGTTAATAGAGAATTAACTTATTGATCATTCGTTGAATAACGCGATCCTTATATTTAAAATTCTAAGATTGATTTGATGTCCCGGTGCTGCTAGTATTTTCGAAAATCAACACATTTTCATACTCAGGCTTTAATATTTTTTTTTAATTTCAGATAACTCCAAGAC